TCTCTCTTTCGGTTGGCAATTTAGGTTCATTATTTCCGTTTGTTCATTGTCATAGCCGTTCGGCGAGGTAAAGAGGTGTTACCTACATAAACACACCATGATCTGGGCTTCGGTTACTAGATTACCGTTCCATCTTTTCACAGTGTTTTCGAGGATTATACCAAAAACCAAGCCAACTTAACAAGCTCCTCTATAAATCTCCACATCTTTTCACCAGAATTTTCATGCAGTACCCCAACTTACTAGCCAGCTTCTCAAGCTCGTCATATTTACACATTTCCGCCTTTGTCTTTCGACCTGCAGAACCATCTTGCTTCGGGTATCTCTTACACCCTTTACGCGTTCCGATCGATGGCGATGTCCCAAGCTTTAAATTCCGTTCCGTTTTATGAATGTTTCGAGAAAGAAGCTAAATTTTCCGTATAGAATCGCGGCAGGTCAAGGGTAACTCATATGGTTGTGTTCTGCCGCTCATGGAAAGTATATTTAGTCGCAACGTCCTTCGATTCCTTCGGAACATGCTCGTAAATTACTAATCGTTATGGATTGTGACGAGACGTACATCCAATGAGGGTGATATCAAGTCACCCCCACCGCAAATCCAACACTACATTTATGCTCCGCTGTTAAGGCCGCTGTAGTAGATTTCATTAGAACTTACCTTCTCCCGTACATCGTCCTTGTGACCGACGGTTATATCAACTTTAACTTTTTCAAAAACTTCAACCAGCTGGGCTTCGACATCTTTACAATAAAGGGATAGGTCATTTCAAGTGCCTGCCACATCAAATCGAAATGTTTAAATATTTTTCGGGGGTTGTCATCAAAAGAGTAATATCTCATCCGAGGCTTATTATTGTGTTTTTCCATTGAAGTAGATTACTACCAAAGCCAACGCACTACAGGGGTTTCCAAAATCTGTGATAAAAATATTTCAATCCAAAGATCATCCGGTTTACTGTGTTTCTGGTAACCAACTATTCGTTCGTCATACGGACGCTGTTCCAATATCAGTTTCCACGGAATGAGTGGCATTAATCATTACTCATCTCTCATATTTTTGATGATACTTGGAACGTGGAGTACAAAGCCTAGACATTAACAAAGGAACAGATTGTTCTTTTTACAGTCTATTCTTATCTCAGGCTCATCATTGCAATTTAAAACTATGCCGTGCAATAAATATGGCCAATCGGTTGTTATAGGTAATAAATACCAAATACATAACTACGTTATAAAGATGTTCGGTGCGATTTCACGCGTGCACGCCGAAAAGTCATTTGCCATTATGTATATTCATTACAATCAATCGCTTGCCGCCGCATACTTAACAACAGAGCAATCAAAGTTGCTGACGATCTAAATCAAAAGATGCGCACACTCAACCATTCATATATACAGCCCTTGTAGTGGTGCTGCGACATTGTCAGTTCGTCAGTGACCGCGTGTCGTTTATTTCTTATCGTGGGTCACCAAAGAAAACAAAAACAAAACAAAAAAAGTGATAGAAATACATACATACATACAACCATACATTTAGCAGGACACCGGCAGACACGTGACTTTTGTTGTTGCATTTTCAGGTTTCTATTTGAGTAATCGCTAATCGCCTTGGCCCAACCCCAAAAGCAGACTACACATAATGAATAGAGTGCATCGCTGTATTTATGTACATACATACATGCATACATAGTGTGCTACAACGGAAACCGACAAATTTGCGTGCAAGCAAATGACTTTTTCACATCATTTTTTCCCTTCTTAAGCGTTCGCCTGCCTTGTGGATGGTTGTATAGAGTTGAAGGTGCAACACGCTGACATTGATTATGAAAATTTGTTGGTTGCTGGCTGCGCTATATTTAATTCGATTATGGCATAATTTTCACTATATTGTAGTTGCGGTGTAAAGTAGGAGGGGTTGATGTAATGTCTGGTAATGTGAAGGGTTGCGGACTTGTGTTCTTTTTTTTTTTTCAAAATACTTTCTGGTATGCGCTTTTAATTATGTCCAAGTTGCACACTTTGCAGTGCTATACGCGCACTATTCAAGCACATACGCACATGTACATATGAAATTAATAATTTGCACTCGTCCTTTCGCGTTCGCCTGCTACGTGATGTACTCATGTGTACGTAACGCATGCATACTGTTAACGGTGTGCTAAATGATTTCGAATCACTTTTTATCCACCCCCGATCCTTGGTCGCTTTCGCACCCCGCACTCTAGCCATGCCTGTGCACTGCGCTTGCATGTGTGTACATATGTATTGTCGAAAATCACTTTGCCTTTCGCCAATGCTCGGCTTCGTCGGTCCGCCAAGCAATGTTTGCTGGCGATAAATCGATAGAGATAAGTATCTGCAACACGTTTTCCACATATTTCACATCATTTACTCCGGGCGCTCGGATTGCTCAGCTTGACTTTCGGCGGCGGTGGCAGGGACACCTTGACACATGGATGTTTGAAAATTTTAAAATTTTGCACGTGTTTTTTGTATTGGCGTAACTGTGAGATTTCCGTTTTAAAACGGCGATACTGAGTATGTGCGAAAAGTGAAAAGTGTTGGAAATCTTATATTTTCACGCTTGTCACAAAGCACATAATTTCCGGTTTAATTGTAAAATTGTTAAAAGTTGCATAATAAATCAGCATTAATGCAGTTATCGTATTCTTTGCGCGTGTACTACGACCCACAGCAACTTCCAGGACGCAATAACACACACGAAAAAGAAAATCTCAACATTTTTAAACCCAAAATAATGTTTCGTAATTTTTCTTAATTTAAATTAACATTTTTTTGCAACAAACAAAAAAAAACATTTTAATGAAAACTAAAAAGTTCAATTATTAAAATCACAAAGGAAAACCTTTTCTTATGTATGCTCGTATACATACATTTCTACACAACAAACAAAACAACTGCTTAGAAAAGTAACACAAGTTATTTTAGAAAATTGTGATAGATGAGGGTCGCACTACACTGTCCTGCCGCGCTGGGGCTGTCCGAAATCCGCCACCTCAAAGTGACCGACCAAAGCGATAAATCAGTGTTCAAAAAACAAGCAGACATGAAAAACGGGTTATCCTGCGCATTGCATTTCTCATCAAACTGGTTGCTCATGCCAGCAGATTAGTGGCACTGCTGCTTGGTATAAATAGATTTCCCTTATCAAAAGGGTTTATTTGTTTGTTCACTGCTATTTGTATATCGGAGATTTCCCAATAGGGTGATTATTTAAAATTATAAGTAGCTGAAGTGCAGCCGGGTATTAGTAGTGAATGTTATAAGATTATAACTGCTTTTCCAATAGTTTTAGTTAAATGTTGTTTCAAAAGCTATGACCATACATAGTTTGTTATGTAATATTCCTTTGATAACACGAATAATGCGTTATGACTCTTATGTATTTTGGTCTATGTAAAAATGCTTTGAATTTCAGTTCCGTCTGAAATTATTTTTAGCAAAAGTAAGCATGTAATACATATGGCACGACACGACAGCACGACAACGACGATTTCTGCTCTGCGTCGACCATAAACAAATTGGAGAAACGGCTACAACAAAACTGTCGATACCACATAAAATAAAAATAAAAGATAACTTGACAAAAAAGATTTTCTTTCGAAAAAATCATGGTCAAATGAGTTTGGGGTAAATATTACTTGCTGTTATCGTAACCCAAGAAAAACATCATGGAATACGCATTTAAGATTAGCAACCAAGAATATAGCAACAAGAGAAAAGAGTTAGAAAATTGCAAGCACTCAAGAAATAGACTAGGTTATGGGCATGTTTGAAAGGCTTTAACCGTTTGTTTCCGACAGCTCACTCCTCTGTCTATAATTAAGTCAGAGAGAATCACTTAAATAGTGCAGCGCGACTTTTAGAACCCAAAAAATCAGTTAAAATTAGCCTTAAATGGAAGTTTAATCTGCAAACTTACGGAAAACAATGAAAAAGCATGTAAAATCAATAAGAGAAGCAATAGTAAAAGCAGCGACAAACAGCTAGACGGAGTCTAACAGTTTTACAGGCCTATTCTGTCGAGGTAACATAATTTACTTTGGTATTAAAATTTACCATTCAGTAAATTTTGTCACTATTTCGTATTCTGAGCTCACTGTCACCCCTTAAATTTTGTTACCAGCGAAATCTACAGTTTGGTTTTGTGTTGCTAGTTTGCGAAAAAATAAAAACTAAAATGGGTAGGCATATTTTAGGCTTGGAATTCATTGAAGATGTAGAAAAAAGTGTAAAAAGGCGTATGCTAAGAAGTTTGCGAGAAACTAATGACCCTTTTAATTTGGAAGATTTTTGTTCAGCTTTTTTTTGTCGCTTAGGCATAATTTCTAAAATAAGGTTCAAATATTGTCAAAGTTTTTTCAAACGTTGTACTGGTTACAGAATAACTGGCCAGAATACCAAATTCAATTTCGGGTGTTAAAAAAAAGTATCAAAGTTTCCATTACCGGTAACAGTGTGAATGGGCCAGTTATTCTGAATTTTTCTACTATAAATTATATATTTCTCCATTCGAAAAAATATTCCGGAAAAATCGCATACACAATTTTATAATATAATCAATTTTTCCAATTAGCCGACTTTTTCGGAGGCTTGTCCAAAAATCTTCTTTCGCAAAAATCTTCCTGTGATAAATTTATGCAACAAAATTGCCCTCCAATTATCACGCATTTTCCTATATATAGAAATATCTATAAGTAGAAAAGTACACTAATTAATTTAAATACGCAAAATCATTTGTTTTCAAATATGACGTTAACAACACCAATTTAGTTTGAAATGCAAAATGCTACACAAAAAGAAAACCGATTAAAGAACGTTGATAAAATAATATGGCAGCACTTTGCGAATAAACGCAACCTCGTTGGTGGTTTTCTGATATTTCCACATTGATGTCATTGTGTTGCCGATTCTTTCATTCTCTCGCCTTTCGTATTTACTTAGTGCTGTCGATTTCAGCGCGCACATGCGTGTTTATTCTTCTCATGTTCAACCACTACCCTCGTAACGAATCAGCTTGCTATGTTGGCCGCTATTAAGCTAAACTATTGGTATACCAATTACCAGATCGAAAACCAGTTATTCGGTTATAGGTATTGACACAATTGCGGATATGAGTAATTTAACAACACTATGCATGAGTCGGCAAATGTCAAATTTTTAATGTGTAAAAACAAAAGTATAGGATATTCTCGTGTGCTCGATTTAATTTCCTATTATTTTTTTGTTATTAACTTATTAAATAAAGTAAAAAATGAAGCTACAAATTAAAACTTTGAGTCAAAAATCGTTGATGGTCGATATCGATCTGTCAAAGACTGTGTACGAACTAAAAAAGGAGTTGTCGCTGTATCCAGACGTTGGCGTTAAGCCAGAACTGCAAAAACTAATTTATGCCGGTAAAATACTTTTCAACGAACAACCTTTGAGTGCTTATAATATCGATGCAAAGAAATTTCTTGTCGTAATGGTATTGAAACAGCCCGAAGAGTTGGGTGCCGAAACAGCACCAACTGGTGCAGGTAGTTCAGTGTCTGCGGTGGGCGAGGCTGCCAGTGCAAAAGTTGTTGCAAGCGAAACTGAAGCAACTACTAAAGAGACACCAACAGCACAGGTAGTAAAGCAACAAACACCACAAACACCAGTGCCAGCAGCTGCTACAGTAACAACTGCTGCTGCTCCTGAGACACAGCCCACAACACCACAGCGTACTGCAGCTCCACCACAGCAAGAACAACCAGCACCACCAAGGAGTGGTGCTAATGATGAAATGGTGGCAAATATAGTCAGCATGGGTTATCCAGAGGTAGAAGTACGACGTGCGTTGGCCGCTAGTTTCAATAATCCAGAACGCGCAATTGAATATTTAATTGAAGGTATACCAGAATCGGTGTTGATGCAACCAGAGAATGCTGTTTTGTATGGTGGTGATAGCGATGCCGATATCGGTATGTCACCATTTGAAATGTTTCGTAGTGATCCGTTGTTCCGAAATTTGCGTCGCGCTATACAGCAACACCCAGAATTAATTAACGATGCCATACAACGTGTAGGCGAAGCCAATCCCGCCATACTACAATTAATCAACGATAACCAACAAGAATTCCTTAGCTCACTGATTGAGGGTTCGGACGATGATGATGATGACGAAGATGGAGCACCTCGTGGTGGTGGCAATTAAATAGTAAATGCAGTTCTGAAATAAAATAAAATAAATTATTTAAATTGTAAACTCTTGCATTGTACTGGTTATATTATAAATACAGGGAAAGGACTTTATAATACCAGTTTGATTGAATAGTAAAAAATATGTTTCGTCATTTTTAATTACATATGTATGTATAGTAGTTATAATAGTATTCAAGGCAATTATTTCAACGACAATGGCGAGTATAAGGAAAATGTTACTTTAAGTAAAATGCTTTTGCACTAGGGCCTGCTTTTCATAAGAAAAATGTTAAATGCAACGGTAGCCAGATAAAAAATGTTGGTAGTTTCTGAGCTGAATTTGCAAAATGAACAAAATATAAACTGAATACATGTTATAAATGTCTACTTTAGTATTTCATTGAATTCCTTCATCATTGCTACAATTTAATTAGCAATTCAACCCTTCTTTTATTCATATATGCCTTATATTTTATGTTATGATTAATGCTTTCAAGATGAGTAAGGCTCTGTCAAAAGCGGCACAATGAAAAGATATTTTTTTTAAGTATTTAATATTACTTCTTCAAACCAGTGTGTTATACAAATGTACAAATATCTAGGTACGAGCAATTGCATTGAAAGAATTTTGCCTAATACTTCTGCTACGTAAAGACTTCTATTGTTATTGGGTAATCTGATATATTCTTTTAATTGGAAGGCATTGATTAGACGCTCCAGTCTCAATTATATAAAATCTTTGCACCGACATACTTATATATATATATGTATATATGTACATATATTTAATTTGAAAAGTTCTCATACCCGGCACAATTGTGCAATTAATGTGACGCCCCTTCGTGTTGAAAGCTGTATGACAGCATACAATAAAATTAACACCAAGCGGTCTATGAACCTTTTTTATTTCCACCATTGACAGCATGAGACGCCTATAATGCATTACTCTAATACATACAAATATACATAGTTCTGAAGGATTCAATAGTAAATTTTAATAGTCATGAGGTTGTTTTTTTTTTTTTTTAATAAATCGGTAGGAATTTTAATTCTTTCAGTTGTAATGAACAAACACAATAGACAAGGCGAATGGCAGCTGAAGCTCTCAGACCATTTATTGTTACATCGCGAGAATATATTAAATATTATTATGATGAGTGATTAATTTTTAAATTTTTTAGTGTTTGCAATAAAATGAATTTATGTATATACATGCATACATATACGATAAAAAAGGTTCCCCAAAATGTATGCTTCAATCAGCGAACCTCCACGATCCCAGGCTTAATAACTAATATTCCAATAACCCATCCCATACATACATATGTGAAAAATCTCCAAAAGCGGACGGAAAATTTTAAAGTGTAGAAAATTTTCATTTTTTGATCCCAAATATTACTATTTTAGTGTTTGAAATGTTTTGCGCAAATAACAATTTTTTTCGATATTTTTTGGATAAAAAAATGTTGCACTGCATCTAGAAGTTGTTCTTTTATTCTGGGATATATAACCCCAATGCGTTTTTTTCAGCGAGACTGTAATAAAAGACAATGAGTCTAAAAGTTATGGACTTGAATATTAGATTCAAGCAGTCAAGAGTTGATTGAACTCTTGATATTTCTTCTATATTGGCGTGGATACCTTGCTATTCATTTCTTCTCTTCGCGTCAATTCGAAATGCCAGGTAGAGCCAGGCCCAGGCAGGTCCTTCCGCACTCACCAGCGGTTACTGCATCGAAAACTTTCAAAGGTATAATATTCTTATTCATCTTTACCACATGATCCAAGGAGAAAAGGACCATAAATCTTGGGCAAAACTTATCGCCTGACGGTACCTCAGGTCGACACTTAGCAGGACAATTGACTTTAGTCGTTGTTGTTGTTGTTGTAACCGCAAAATTATTCCCCAAAGTACTTTTTGGGGAATGTTGCGGGAGTGACACTTCTTGGCCGAATAAAATCCGGGTCGTTCCGGTATAAAAATCCGACTGTCGCGGGAACTATTGGATTTTAGTCGCCTCTTACGACAGGCATGCCTTACCGCGGGTAAATTCTTGAACCCCTAACCCGCAGGGGGTGGACTTTAGTCTTTCACACAATATGCTGGATAGGATAGGATATATAATATTTAGGAGACTAGTTTTACGATAAATGGGGCAGACCGTGTTGTGCCTCATTTGATGGATCGGACAGAGCACAAAATATTCCTCAAAGTAGTTTTTGGGGAATTAGGCCGAGGTCGCCTATCGGCGGGAAATGGCAACCCCTACGAGTGTATTTCTGACATGAAATAAACTTTAAACCTCGCTTAAGCAGTTACAAAGCGCCAATTATATACACATGGAGTAGACTACCTTCCTTGTCCCAACCAACGCACTTCTTAAACGATAGCGATATCAGCCTTTAACTTTACGAGCACAAAAACAAGCTAGGCAGGGGCACCCTCTCAAATTAAGGTACCAGGCATGTTCTCAAATAATGATCCTTGAAACATTTGCTGGCGTCGTCATCAAAGGGGGGTCTGCATTTGGAGTATATCTTTCATATGATGGGGCCCTTTCACCAAACAGATGTTTGTTGGTTACCCAGAAGAATGCTTGATTTAAGACCGGTAGGCGTGAGCTGCTTACTTTAGTGAATTTCTACACTTGACCCCATATTTCCTATCACTCTATAAGAGTTTTTATCTATATCTATAAGTCGAAGAACTAAATTAGACGATCCAATCTGTCTTAAAGCCTAACAAATATCTAGATATAGGTTGTTGGTGTCAGCAACACTGTTGTTATAACCGCAAAAATATTCCCCAAAGTACTTTTTGGGGAATGTTGCGGGAGTGACAGTCCTTGGCCGGACCCCTAACCCGCAGGGGGCGACAGCAAGACTGTCGTAGTGAGTGCTTCAACTATCTTAGCAGAAGTAGTATTAGTAGCTTATAGAAATCTTCTTCTGTGGTATTTTCTGTTTTTAATTGCTTCAATTTCCTAAGCAATTAACATTTAGATGGCTTTCCTCCTCCGCGTGCCGTTTTACCTATATTTCTTGTTCAAAAATCCACAACGTTAAAACTAGCTCTGGTCACTTTTATTTGCCAATAAATAAAGGTTAGTATTTAAAATTAATCAGTTATCCCAACCACTCAACAACATATGCCGACGAATTACTCCCGTCTTTCTCTAGATTATTTGCCTTTTTGTATTCAAAAATATCAGTGGGTGGATGCGGTGGTTTGTTTCATTGTTTCTGCTGCTGGCACAGCCCATCACTTGCAGGCCAACAAACCGTTGCGCAGAAGAAAAGCCAATTAATAGCCACAATGCGTATATCACTCATGGCTACACCCCCCCCCCCCATACACACACACACACACAACCCCACCCACAAACGTTCCACTGTCAGATTTATCGCATTTTAAAGCGAAAGTAAACAAATTATAGATTATTTCAGCGGGCAATGGGTAACCGATAAGGATGAGCCATTGTGCAAACACATGCAAATGAATGGACGTACGCACAATGCAAGACATTCCTCAGAAGGATATATGTACTTATGTACGCACACATGTATGTTGGTGTGTGTTTTTGTGTGTGTACTTTAAGGATACGCCTCTGAGGTGCTCACCGTTACATGGTGCAATCGACCATCAGACAGTTTGAAGTGATATTCGCTGAATGTACTTTCACACGCAGAATTTCAGCTAAGCAAACAAGCATATACATATGTACATATACATACATATACATATTTGCATATTAAATATATGCATGTACGAATTTTACAAAGGAATGCATTTTGATATTCCATCAAACAAATAATCAATTTGCAACGAAAAATGCTAAAATATTGATTTAAGTATGCTTATATACATATGTACATATGTATGTACATATTGTACATACAGTATGCACGGTATGTCCATATATTCTCAAGCAGTACCCAGCATGTAGCAAAACCGTCAGAAATTCTTTTTCTTTAACAAATGCCTGCCTACAGGAAGTGGAAAGTTCACGGCAGTCTACACACACTCAAATGCACACATACTCGTTCGTGTACATACATAAGTACATACATATTTAGTATGCAGTGATGACAGAATCTTGCATTTCATTGATTATTTGCTTTGCAGATTTAAAAAGAGGAGTTGGGTTGTTGTTGTTGTTGTTGTTCAAGTTATACAAATTTGTTTATTACGCTTTGGAGAGTTTGAGTATTTACTTAAGTGATTAATTTGCATTTCAAGAAATTAAGTAATCATAGGTAACAATAACGGTCTGCTTTGTATCTTAATGTGTGTGTATGTACATACATATGTATGTACACGCAACGGTTTTTCACTCTCTAACTTCTATGAAGTAAAAATTATACCATACCATACATTTAGATATTAAAAGGTAAACAATTTTTCCTTCATTACCAAAATTTGCATGACAGTAATGGTGGCATGCCATAAATTATGCCTAGCCATCAAATATGGTTTTTTTCTTCATTACCAAATTTGCATGACAGTAATGGTGCCATGCCATAAATTATGTCAAGCCATCAAATATGGGGTTTTTCTTCATTACCAAATTTGCATGACAATAATGGTGAAATACCATAAATTATGTCGAGGCATCAAATATGGTTAACCATAAAATATGGTGAGACGAAAAATATTGCTAGCCATAAAATATAATCTGGTTTTCTATCAAATAACACTAGCTATAAAATGTTGCTGTCCAAGAGAAATGAAAAACTTAAAATGGCGACAGCTGTTACTTGATGTATACTAAGTTTGGTTTGCTATTACTTAATGAACAGACTTACTCTGGAATAATGGTTCGGTTCGCTTAATGCAACGATCCTTGCCTTGAAGTGCGCAACTGTGGAGCAGAGTAAAGGACCCGAATAAGTACAACAATCATCGCTCGCAATAATTCGATTTGTGCCCACTCACTTTGTGGAAGATTTCGCGCAAGGATATTGGCTTGCAGGCTTCCATATCCAACTCGTGCAAGAACGACCATCAAGGGCGTTGTATGTTGGGTGAATGGGTCCAAACCAAGATGGCCACCGATCCAGATTTTCACAAGAATTTTTTTTTTAGGGATGAAGTTTTCGTTTGGCTAAATGGGTACTTCGCATTTGGACTGATGATAGTCCACAATCCCAATTTGAGACACCG